ATAGATAAGTTCTATCGAAAACCCGCAAGAGAAAAGCAGATTAATTAATTATAATTAAAATCTTTTTTTTTTATAAATAATAAGCTACATAATTTATGCTTATTTATTTTAATATTTACTTGATTTCTATTTACGTTTTTCAGAAAATTGTAATTAAATTTGTGACATAATTCGTTCTTGAATAATAAATTAGAAGTGTAAAAATATTCCAGATAACTGTACATATAGAAAAAAATCAGATGATTATTTCTGAGTTAAATGCACGAACATCATTATTTATAACTTCCTACTTGTTCGACGTGTTCAAATGAAAAGTAATGTTTTCTTTTTATTTGCTATTTAACTGGAAATGAAAATACAAAATGATAAATGTTTCTCAAGATGATCTTAATTTGCATTAAAGCTCTGGCGGTTTGACGTTGAACATTATGTAACGTTATGTAACGCTGGTGCCATTAGCCTAATTTCATAATGCGAATACCGCAGGGACCTTAGAGTTCTCGTGCTGTAGAGCGGAACGATTCTCTCTAAGGATATGCTGAACTCTCCGTGACGATTCGCATGTCAGGCATGAAGCCAGTTAATTATACATACATATGTTAAGTCTTCCTTGACGCCGCAAGTAGGTAGAGCATCATTATTCTTAGTGTTCTGCGTCTGTTTATACATATAAAATAGAGTTAATAAATTTTGTGATACGCCTCGTTCTCCATCAATTATAAATAATTTCTCAAATTCAAATTTAAACTATAAGTGTACAACACAATGTGCTGTTTAATCCTTTTCCTATTACAGTCTTTTCGCGTCACGATATAACAAAACATTCAATGTTTGGAAATAAAATTGAATCTCGTGTTGACGCATCATGGATCATTTTTTATTTCTTTTCATGTATTGTGGTACGTTTGTTTAAATCTTTCTAGTTGCATATAAAAATTGCATTTTTTAATCTCCTGCGTGAAATGATATTTTTCTGTATAAAAGATTATATCTCTTTTGTGCAGAAAAATGCGATTTTTTTCCTACATCATATATATTGAAAAAGCGTATTATGTTTCGTACATCATTGAATTCACGAGTCAATTTCGTCCGAAATCGGAAAGGTGATTAGTTTTGTGTGAAATCGTAGCTTCCACGGCTTTTATTCCAGAAAATTATGAGAATACTTTTAAGAGAATACTTTTTCATCTGTATGAATGTATGGGACGCCATTGAAGTTTCTCTTTTCGCCCTGCAAAAAATATATTTCTATACGCTGTTATTACGATTCCAATCACTCGATCTCACCGACTCGTTTATCTTTTTATTTTTTATAGAAAACAAATTTTCTTTCTGATTTATAATTTGATTTACAATCGAAATTGAGCAATATGATTCCTATTGTAGATTCTAATTGTAGGTTCTAATTGTAAATATACTGCAAAAGAGTGTAAAGTAAAAATCGATCTTGAATTGTTCAAAGAAATTAGTTGCATTCAAGACAGACGTATGAAAATAAATTATCACTAAAGCTAGAAACATATTAAAAGACGTAAGACAATAGGATTAAATAGCAAAACGAATTGGCCAATCACAGTAAAGATCGTAATATAAAGAAAATAATTCTTTATCGTGATTGATCGATTTGCTTACGTCTCACTGCCTTACATTTTTCTGGCTTAAGTGCTCACTGAACTGTTTCTTTGCCGAACGCATCTATTATCATTAAAAAAAAAGTAATACGATACGGATGAGACGACCCGTATAAAATAATTTTGTCAAAAAGCTTGATCGCGGTTTTTGTGATTCAACAGTATCTACCGACATGGCAAAAAACAGTACGGTAAACTTTCAGGACACGTCTCTTTTTATCCGACTGCACATCGTGACGTATTTGCCGTGCCTTGGCCTTTCCTATCTTTCGCCTTTTTGGCACGTGTTTACTCCTCGATCGCGGTGGCGACCGTCCGATCGGATTATGCTGCCGGCGCATCCGGAATCGACGACCGAAACAGACAGGAAGTCGACGGTCAACAGCGTTTTCGACGCTGTCAGTGGGCAGCGCGAACTAAGAGGAAATGCTTTTGGTTTATTAGCATGCCAACAAGTTAATCGATGATCTGCATCGCGACGCGGTGACTAGTAGACTTTCACTGCAAGTCAGATAATTGCATATAGAAGCATCAACGCCTACAGCGCGTGTTAACGCTCTTGAAAATAGATTCCTAACATTTACATGATCCGTAATGAACGCCCGGTCCAAAGTGATCCATCTGACCGATCGTTCTTTCACGGTAAAAGCAACGAGCGCGAATTTCTACATCTATCAAATAAATTAATGTAATTTCCCATAAGAGAGGAAACATATGTATCTATGTGCCTTAACATTTTAATCCAATGCCTCATTTTAAACGAAAGATGTTTGGACATTTGAAATATTCTTTTTTTTTTTAATCCCCTTCTGTGCTTTCTGGGTCTTTTTTGTCCAGCTTAAGTTTCTTTTTACTATTTCTAGGCTTTCAAAAAATAGACAAATTCGGGACTTTTACTTTTCGACATCTCTATTACATTATCAAGTAGTGTTTTTATTATTAAGATCTTTGAAAGAAATGCTACCAGCATCAAATTATTAAAATCTTTCTAACATGCTTATGAGCATCAATATTGTAGGAAAATAAAGAGAACCGTAAGATCATTTAAAAGTATATATAGACGACCCGAATAAGTATGACAACAGAGGAGCACTATTGGCGTAGCATACACTGAATATTAGGATTGAAAACGAGGACTCCTGAGTTTTCAAATTTCAAGCTTCTTCGTTAATTTTTTCGTCGGTCCCTACAATTATTAAATAATTTGTCAATTTAATTTGTAATATTACTACCCTAGTTCTGTTAGAATTGCGTTTCAAAACTGAAAATTAAATTCGACATGCAATTTGCAGGATATGTAGTAAATAAATTTATAATTTAATAATTAAAAAAAATTCGAATTATTTAATAGTTAAAAATCCAGCTTGACTATTTAGAACATTTATTTCCTTTTTGTTGTGTTCCAAATGTTTATTTAATAAAAATTGATATTTGAGCTAAAATGAGGAAAAATGGAAATTTATTTAAAAATGTATAACTTCGCGTGTGAAATTTCGCGTGTGCCAAAATGACTCAAATTACAGAGTTAAATGAATTACTAGAATTTTATATAGAATATTGCAGCTCCAAAAGAAATTAATATTAGCTGTTAATTTTGTTTTAGGTTCCAACATGATCAGTTTGATTTTAGCGTTTTGTTGAGAAAGTTATACGTATTTTCCACTCGACTTGGCAAATTAAGATATGGTGCTCTGCATTGACAGCTCAGTATATTTCTGTGGGATAGAAATCTGAATAGCGCACAGTAATTTCCGCGGCTTTAACTTGTACCTTAGACAGTCAGAACCGAATACAATTGCGGTCGCTGCGGCAACAACCAAGTTTGGTCCGTCGTTAGGAAACTCGCGACAAATTCGGCAGTCGGAAGCCTGTTTAAATCGTAAAATTATTGCCACCGAAGGTCATCACGCAAGCCAGCTTCGAAGCAAATCGGATTGTAACCAAATACCCAGCGCAGTTTCAAATCATATTGTAGTCGAAGTCTCGACTAGCGATAATTAAAACTTACTCAAATGAAATCGTCTATTTGTGAATCTATTTTATGTTCTTCACAGTATTTTTAATTTATGATTTTATATGTACTGTTTAAATTTTGTCTAAAATCTTTTGGAGTAAAAATTGAATCAGTCTTGAAAAAAAGGGTGAAACTTTTCATTCTTGAACAAAAGTGGCAGATTTTTATTCTTTTAAAGTAAGATTTTATTATTTTGGAGTGAGATTCACTCCAGGAAGGATAATATCTTCTTTTTTTGGAATAGACTTCTCCTAGAGTGATTTTCACTCCAAAAGAATGAAATCTTATTCTTAAAGAGTGAAAATCTGCTATTCTTATTTAAAAGTAAAAATATTTTATTAGATATTTTTCAAGACTGATTAAATTTTCAATCTTTTGAAGAGTATGTATAAGTTTATTACTTGTATAAAGATGCATTATTACACATACACCTATAAACATGATGTGCGCATTATAATTTTATCAGGAATTTTTCTTTTTTTTTATTGATTACATTTTAATCTATTTGCATTTGCAACTTTCTACTTATTTATAAGCTTATTCGTTTGTAAAATGATTTACAAGCAAACTTCGTTGGCTCAAAATCTCCAAAGTTAAATGCCTTTACCTCAATCCTTACGAAAATACGAAATGTTTAGTTACTTACTCGAGAAACTTCTTAAGTGTGTACAAAGTTTTACCGAAGTAGAAAATTTCAGTATTGGAAGCTTCCGTCCTTAAGCAAGTACAACAACTGATTTATAGTCTGCTTATAACTTTATTTTTACGAAACTTCAAAGCAACCCTATCTATTTTTCCATCACGCAAGTGGAGTTACATTAACAAACGAAGGATTTTATTTCAAGTTAATCAAAGAATTGAAATTTTCGTTTATTTTCTCTCTAAAACTTTTAGATCTCACTGTAAAAAGTGAAACCTCTCTCATTTGTAAAGATTGAAAATTGATCCATTCTTTTTCAAGATTGACTCAATTTTTATTCTATAGAGTGAGATTCCACTTCAAAAAATTTAGAGAGTTCATGTATT